GCGATGTTTTTTGCTAATACAAGTCGCACAAGCCTCGCAGAAGCGCTGCATGTCTCCCACCTGAAAGAATGCAGGCAGAATATACAATAGCTAACAGGTATATGCTATTCGCCGCACCGCTTGTCTTGTTTGGTAATTTTCAAGTGTTAAGCCTGTGGGGTCTCGGCGAGGCAAACGTGCGCATCGCCACGCCACGCTCTTGGAGTGAACGGACACAGCAGACGCGGTTGGTACAAAGCACACAACATACATACATTTATTAACTAATTTAGACGACGATATCGTCCGCCGAATGATACACCAATTTCAATTAACATGCTACCATACAAAAAACATGACGCAGTGACACACTAACCCACAATAACATGATAAACACACACTAACACACCCAACACACACAAATTCCCAAGGCGGCGTCGCCAACGCCTGACTTTCCACGTGGGACCCCGGCGCGAAGCCCGCGGTGCCGAGCACCGGGGACCCACGCTACAGACAACCGTTCGCGGCAGCCGCCACGCGCAAAAGAGGCTCGCTCAAATCTCGGCCACCACCAAGGCCCGCCTTCCGCCAGAGGCCACCGCCGGCGCTACCACTCTACCAACAGTGATACTCAAAGCGAACACAACGCCATCTATCGTCCGGCGGTGGTCACCACCGAAATAAAGTCTTGGGGCGAGACACGTGCGCCACGCGGCGCAGACATTACAGGGGGGCCCCACAAGCTCTTTGAGCCTTTCGTGGCGCTGGGTAGACCTCCCGCCATATCTCTACTGATGACGAAAACGCGCTGAAGATGCGGAGCTCTGAGGACCACCGAACAATGTATGGTGCAAATAAATGGCTTCCCGTTTGCATTCGTGGCAGCATTTGTTTCGTGGTCGTGTCGCTAGCGCCCTTCGAACGGAGAGGTCGCTGGTTCGACGACCCGCGCCATCTCTTATACCTCTCGTTTCTTTGTTTGCATTATTTTAGCGTATATTTTATAACGTCATATTCGTGACGGAAATACGTCAGTGGAACCGTGGTGGAGGTTCTCGTGGCGTTGGGTAGAACGACCAGGAATGATCACCACCATCATTGCCGGGGCGCGTGCTCGCCTCATTCTCTCCAACTGCAGCTTCGCTACCACAACGCGTGTGCCGATTTGTCCGATGTATACAATACAAGAACTATGATGGGCTGCGCGTGATTTTTTTTTTCTTAGCTTGAAGAAGAGTAAAGACAAGAAACAAGCGAAACCAGGAAGGTGTCTCCTAGGGAGAAAAGGAAAAGCATTACGGTTGGTGCATAGGCGCCTCTATTCCGTTCAGTGCTGTATAGAAAAGAAAAATGCGAAACGCATGCGCCACTCGTAGCTTTCTATCGCCCCTAGCACTTTCATTCCTTTTCAAACGCATCAGCGCTGCATGTCATGCCTCTGCGCCCGGTTACATGTGACAGGCGGTTGGAAACTTTTTTTCGATGTTCTGTTATGTTTTTGTACCAGCATCATCTTGCCTTCCTTAATACACGTGTGGCCAATGCACGCTCGCGCCCGACGCCTCGCTGCTTGCTCAGGCAGGTGAGTGAACTGAGGCGTGAAGGTGCTTCACCTAAGCCCGAATGCGCTTCGCGTGGCGGCTTTAATGCTCGTGCCTTTTCTTATTTTATTACGGTATTTCTACTTTGCTTCCAGTGACGTGCTTGCGAGTGTGGTGTTATGTATAAAGCATCCGCGGCGTTTTCTTTTCGCGTCACTGATGTTTCTACAGCACGGTTCGATTGTTGTAGAGTCGCGTAGCTTCTTTCTTTTTGTTCTTCTGCTGATTTATGCTATACTTCGTGTAGCGCTTGGCGTTACTTTTTTTTTTTCTGTGCGTGTGCGCAGGCTGGGATTGCGAGAGTCACTTTCATGTTTATTCCCATTCAGAATGGAACGACGTAAGCGTCTTCCTAAGCTTTGTGGCGACCAGAGAAAAATTCTTGTCTTTCTTTTTTTTCCCTCTCTTTCTCTTGTTATTCTTCCTCTTATCTGTCTCTTGAGACCTAAGATCCAGTGTTGGCAACAAGATCTGTACCAAAAGGCGTCAGATGACGTCATTCCATGACAGTGTCGCTAGGTAAAAGCTAGGCCGATGCTGGAGGTAGTGCGTCACATTGTTAGGTGGTGCGGAAAGTTTCGGAGAGGAGGGTGGAAGTATGCAATTGACTGAAGATGCCGAAGAATATTAATGAGCGTCTCGTGAAAGGATACGCTTTCGCCTGTCATATCTTCAGCAGTGCCTAAAGGCACCGTGTCTTTTTCGTCCGCGTGTTCTGTGCCTGTGTGTGATGTCTGCGCTGTTGACATCGGACTGACTACATAGCACGAGCTCGCAGCTGCGATGGGCTAAAACCACTATATGATTATCACGCACGACCCAGCTAATGGTGGGCTGCGGGAATTTCGACCATCTGGCGTTCTTTAACGTGCACCAACATCGCACAGTATATGGAGCTCTAGAATTTCGGCCCCATCGCAACGCGACCGCCGGGGCCAAGATCGAACGCGCGAGTGTAGTGTGGGTAAACCAGCACCGAAACGGCTTCACCACCGGGGCGGACGCGTAAGTACTTCGAAGTAGGTCTCTAGTTAAAGTTGGAACAGGAATTGTCTTCCTTCGAAACGTTTTATTGTGTTGATGTTGCGTATTGGAACTTATCTTGCAAGCGTATTTGCTATATATGTCTGCTGAAGTGATTTGATGCTCAAGCTTACTTTTACCGTTGTTCGCTGTTTTTTTTTAATTTCCTCGTCACAACACTGGTTCTCCTCATTCCTTTGTTTTTTTTTCTTTTTGCCTATTCTTATTTTGTCTCGTTTGCCTTGGAGGGTGTATTTTCTGAGAGCAGCCATCGGTCCCCGTCGTCGCTCATGGCACATCTGAGGCCCTGAGGCTGCCGTTAGAGCCGATTAATGCTTTTCCGATGCTCCCTTACAAACTCTTGTGTAAAGAAAGAGCTGGCCGCTGCGACCGAAGCTCGCAGGAAAGTTTGAGCTCCTTTTGGGTCATTTCTTACAATTTTCCCCAGTTCAGTCCATACATTGATGTTTCTTTTCTCCCTCCGCTTCGCTTTCTACTGTCGCTTGCAGTCCTGTTATGACGATTGACTAAATGGGGGATACGACCTTGAGAAGCATCGCACAATTTTCATCAGATAAGTCAGTTTATAATAATACGTTTGAGTAGCAGCGTATCGAGTTAGTTCTTTTTTCTTGTTCCGCGGAGGAACTGTCGTGATGCATTAAGGCGTCTTAAAATGTCTATAAGCTCAATGGAACAGCATCATAATTATTATCAGGAGCAGCCATCGCAGAGTAAATGCGTCTTCCATGTGCCGCCAATGAACCCGTTCGTGTGCTTTCTGCTGCCGCGTTATACATGCAAACTTTTAGGGGCGAAGTACCTCAGGGTCTAGCATGGTCCGTTGTCCGTTGCCCAGCACAGCACATGCAATGTACCCCCTACACGCCATGACGATGACGATGAAGAATAAGTGCGTTAGCGCATCAAAGGTACCCGATGACGATGACGCTGCCATCATGGCACAGAACATGCGAGTTTACCGACCTTACGTCATGACGACGACGATGTTTACGATAAAGAGTAAGTGCATTCCTGAACACACATTCCCTTTCTGTCACGAATGAAAATTGTGGAGGTGCTCTCGCTCGCGAAAGGCAAAGCGGCAACGCCGACAACAAGCTGTCACTCAGGAGGCGAGAGCGTGGTATGCGGCGGCTCAAAGCCTACGCCTACGGCAATGTGCTACACGCTTTAGTTGAAGGCGCCGAAAATGGCGGCTCAACGGCAAAACCTCGTCGTATGTACCGTGCACACGCGTTGTCACTCATTTGCATGCATGAGTGGCTAATGCCGCGGGTGTTTTACTGCGGTAAGCACGATCGTCTCCGCTTCGCCCACTCGTCATAATACACTTCGTAGAAATGCGTCCATTTGTTTTATTCTTATCTGTTCGCCTGATTGTTGTGTTGTATTTAATATATATATATATATATATATATATATATATATATATATATATATATATATATATATATATATATATATATATATATATATATATATTTAGTTGCGCGTCCACAGCAGCCGCACGAACGCAGCCTCCCACTGGAAATGGCTGGCAGGCTGCGTCCGTACGGCTATTCAGGACGTGCAACTAAATCTGTCTAACTTCGGTGCACGCAGCTCGAAAGGAAGTAAAGGCGTCCCTCGTGATCATACTGTGGTTTTGGGACGTTATCTCCCCCACGACCACCACCGTCACCAACTAACGAAATGACGTTGATATTATTACGGGGTAGTGGGGTGGACAAAGGCATCAGTCGGCTTGTTGAAGATTGAGCTCTGTATTTGTGCCAAGCTGTGCCGGAACAATAAAAAGGCAAGTTACGTGTGATCTACTCTGTACACTGATAGCGGTGAACAAGTCATCTGCTGTCGCTAATCTCATCGTTGGCGAAATGCATCGTGTTTTGTGTGGTTGTCACTTAAACGTACAACATTATCTCTGGCGCTCGCGTAAGCTCTGAAATAAACTTGGATTATTTATGTCCTGCGCGCAACCTTATGATCTACAATAATCGCGAAGCTTCTCAAACACAGATGGGATTTGCACTGAATGTTGTGAACAGTCTTTTCGGTTGGAGCCCGTATACATCAAAATAAACACGCGCGGCATAAGCATTGAGAGGTCACGGGTTACACTCTTAATTAAAAGCTTGCCGAAACCGGAAAATGAGACGAAAAATGTCCAGTTTTTTAACTATATCTAGCACATTAAACGGGACCTCAACAAGAGTATAGCCCGAAAATAGGCAGACCTATGACTTTTCAGATGTTGCGTATACGCATTTCTCTACTTAGTAAAAATTTCTGTTCTGCCAGAGATAAGATACGTGTTCTTACGTAGGTCTGTATCTTTAACGCACTTACTCCTTCTTCTGGTGTTCCTTGCAGACAAGGACGTCGTCGATCTCATACTGGAGCACATGATCGACGACTCGAGGACACGACGCAGCGTGCTCTTGCAGCTGAAGCACTTGGGCCTCGTAGACAACGTCAAGGCCTTCACGAAGAAAGCAAAGTGAGTTGTCTCTTCTCCCGCAAAGGGCGACTTCTGATGCGAGACTCGGAGAGCGTGGCCGATTCGTCATATGGATCCACTATTGATGCGATTGTTTCGTACGGTACGATCTGCTGTCACACCCGATGGAGCTCCTCTGATGTCCATACATGTTGCCCCACATCTGTAATCTTGGTTCTATGCGGACTTTCATCCCTAAAGACAAGTGGACCACTCCTTCCCCTGTGTTTTTCACCCCGTGATGGTCCGCTGCAGTGGAGACGTGCCTGTGGTGTTCGGTTGCAACTCGAAGGTCGCAGGTTCGATCCCAGCCGTGGCGGTCGCATTTCAATGAAGACGTAATGGTTGAAGTTCGAGTATTGTGCGATATAAGTGCGCTTTACAAAACACCGCATGATCGAAATTCCTGGAGCCCTCGCAATTGTGTCGTTGTTTTAGGACGTCAAACCCCAGATTTTATTATCAGCCCACGACGCTTCGCAGTGCTCTCAACGGTCTAAACACGAACATTTAGGCTTATTGGTAGGCCATGATGGAAGAGATCGACGCAATCGCAGACGTGGAGTGAGGAAAAAAGAAACAATGACACAAACCATTATTTATGTTCTATTTTTTTCACGTATAGCTAGTTACAACTTACAGATTTAGGTGGCGGCACTTATATGCGAAAATTCCGATGCGAAAGTGAATGAGGCTTTCCAAAGTGCGCCTGTGACATGCGTAATTTCATGCGTCGTTTTCCAATAACCGATGCTATCTCGACGGTGAGCTAGTTCGGCTATCAGCCGCTTCTGATACGGCAATTTTGCGTTTTGTCGAGTGGACTTGTCATTTCGCGTTGCCGTATTGCATTGTGGCTTGGATATGAACGCCTGCCCTCACGTTTCAGTACCGCTACGCGGACCATTAGGCACGATGCCTGTCGCGTAGGCGTGCCTTCACACCACGCCCACAAATCAACCGTTTCGCTTGCGTTATGAAGCGACTGCGGAATTGTTCGCGCCGCTGCGGTCATTCCGATACGACTTCCATTTGACGCAACGGCGAGTGCGTGGCGGGAACTAACCCTACTCAGGCAAGTGAGCCGCATCTTCCGATACTTCTTTGCAATGATTATCTCCGGTCAGTGCGTCGACTTGCAGTGACCGGCGAGTTTTGTTTATTTCTTTTTTTCTGTATATTTGATTCTTGTTTTTTTCCCAAAAGCGTTTTGAAGCACATAACTGATATTTCGCTTACACTATTGATAGAATTTCGCGTTGGCCTCTCATAGGCAACACATTTCTGATGAACCATTAGGCCGGCGATTGTCTCACGCGAACATTCGTATGCGTATTTGAGTATTCTAGGTGCACCCGAGCTGATGCGTTTTAGTAAGCTTGACTTGCTGATCCGGTGATAAAGCCATAATGTTATAGCATTTTCGTAAGTCTCTCTCTCTCTCTCTCTTTTTTCTGCTGTGTACATTCTCTTTTTCTTGACTTCGATCTGGCTCTATTATGCATTACTCTGCAGAGCAACATAACCCCTCATAGCTGGTGTTTGCGTGAGTGTGCGTGTCTTTGTGTCTGCATGTGTGCGTGTGTGTGTGTGTGCGTGTGTGTATTCGCGTATGTTTGTGTGTGTGAGAGAGAAAATGCTATGGTAGTTAAGCAGGTGCTTGCAGAGCATTTTTTTTTGTTCGTCTTTCACAAAACAAAGCTCCATGTTCTGAACTAGTATTGGTGCGAGAAAGCATAAGCGCCAGATCTAACGCAGCATACTTTTTAAGAAAAAAGGACTCACTAAAGTTTACAGCCTCGGAGTATCGTTTGCTAACTGTTGCTCAATGTTAGCTAATCATGATGTACCCTTCTATTTTTTTTTTTTGCATGACAGTTGCACTTAGGGATATTGGTCGCAATTTCACATTTTTTCTTTTGTTTAAGGGCAAACGCTCCTTGGAATGGTGAAGATGTTGTAGAACTTCGAGAGCTCTTCGAGAAGTACCGGGAGTCGACAGGTGAGCCTTTTTGTATTCTAACCGCGGTCGCGAAGGCCCTATGCTGCAGCTTTATATTAGTACACGCCGCTTCTTCTCTGTCCCTGCAGATATCATGGGCCAGATCATGGAGCACCTGAGCGTCAAGCGGCCTCGACACCGCGTCGTGGACAAGCTCCTCGAGATAGGCCTCGTTTGCAACCGCGTGGAGCTGCGCAAGAAGCGGGCGCGCACGGGCGGCCGCGGAGGAGGCCGGCAGCAGCGAGGATCGGACGACTCCGGCTCTTCCTCCGACGATGACAACGACGAGCGCATCTACGGCAAGTGCCTCTTTTTCCTCAAGCCCCGCCGTGGTGGTCTAGTGGCTAAGGTACTCGGCTGCTGACCCGCAGGTCGCGGGATCGAATCCCGGCTGCGGCGACTGCATTTCTGATGGAGGCAGATAGGCTGTAGGCCCGTGTGCTCAGATTAGGGAGCACGTTGAAGAACCCCAGGTGGTCGAAATGCCCGGAGCTCTCCACTACGGCGTCTGTCATGATCATATGGTGGCTTTGGGACGTTAAACCCCACATATCATCGTTATCAATCTTCTTCCTCAAGGGCAAATGATACACGTGCGTGAGGGCGAAATCTTTAAATGCTTCATAAAACGCGGTGAGTGACCGTTATCGTCATCAAGAAGAGTGATGCGAAAAAAAATAACAAAAGAATCTAATCAAGTCATCCTGACGTCATCATTTGGTGAAATGTGGGCCCATCACATAGTCAGTGCGAAACCAGGTGAGGTGCAGGAAGCCTGTAATGCCACTGATCTCGGAGGAAGTGCATAAAACCAATGCAAGATGCAAAATGCTTTCTGAGGAGGCCCACGGAGAGTCAGTACATTTACTGAAGAGATAAGTATGGCTTACGCCTTCAGGTCGACTGAGGAGGATGCATCAGGAACGATGGTAGTTTTTTTAGAGCGCGCATTACGCCTTTTTCGGGACACTCTACCGAATACTGGAGCAAGGGAAAGGGGGGATTGAATGTGATGAGGATAATGTGCCATGTTTTGTCTTGTTTACAGCGGGAGATGGAGTGCTTATTGCTAGAAAAATCAAGGTACCGCTTTCCGCCAATGCTCATGGCTCAGTGTCGGCCGGGGTGCTACAGTGGTGCTTGGCTGCTGACTGCCGCGGTGCTCAGCTGCTGGCCTTGGGAGGTCGCGGGTTCAATTCCGGTTGCGGCCCGGTCGCATTTTGATAGAGGCGAAATGTTGTATATCCGTGTATTGTGTGATGTCAGGAGTGAGGGCGCGCTGTAATGCACAACAGATTGGCGAAATCTCTGGAACTCTCCACTTGGGCGTGCCTCGCAATCTTTTCGTTTGTTTAGGGACGTAAAACTTCGGGAATAATCATTAGCATGGCCGAGTTTCTCAGGAGAAACGGTAGAGTAATGAAGCAATAGAAGAGCTTGAACGGTGAAGTACGTGCGGAGCGTACTTCATGTGGAGCTTGAATTTATTGAGGGACGACCAACGCGTCCGCTCCTGATTCTTGTTAATGAGGGATCTCGTGTAGAGATCATATGCCCCGACGTCTCTTCAATAAGTGAAAGAAAGAATTTAAAGGTAGGAATAATATTAAATGAAAAGAAACGTGGTAAGATTTGAACTAACGTGTGCCGAGTGTGTACGCATACGGTCATCTACAGACCAAACAGCGAAGGCCGCATCCGTCCGCTCGTGACGGCTGCCACGAAGGAACACGCGTAAGGCCTCGCGAAAAATATTTTCACCAGTGCAATAAAGATACCAGTAGCAATGAATGTCTGCGTTTCGGTCGTGTGCAGTAGTGCAAAGACTCCCGTATTTCGCTTTTGATTCTGAAGTTTGCGCGCAGCACTGATCGGTTCTTGCTAAAATTTTACAGAGAATCGCATTTTAGGGTATCGGTTGTTTGGTTTCATGTTTGGCACGACTATGTACGTCTTTACAAAAAGAATAATGATATTATTTTGTTAGCTGAAACGTCATTAACGTAAGCATGCTGCAGCAAACAGTAAATATGGCTGAGTAAGGTCCTGCGAATTTACCGGATCTCACCGCGACGGCTTGCATCGTAATCATATCGTTGTTCTGGCATGTCTTAACCCAGGCATTTTTATGCCCTTCGGTGTCAAGCGCATTTGCCTTACGTAAGCGCTCTGTGCCAGAACTTCATCCACTAACGAACCAGGGTAACGAGCGATTTGCCTATCTTTACGTGGGTGTTGTGCCACGCTCTTAACTTTAGTTTGCTCTTACCATTTCAGGAAACAGATTAGCCAAGCCGCAGTGAAGCATTAGCCAGTCTGTAGCCAAAAGTTTTTATGGTTGCCCTAGTTAAGAGTGCGTATACTTATAGCATTATTGCTTCCTGAGTTCTCGCAACACTAACATTTTTATTCTGCACAAATGCTTCTCGTGCCTAGTTAACAGGCTCGGTTTAAGAGCGCTCGTAACGACGTGCGTAAACGATAATCATCAGACGTTAAGCCGGCGTTAAACCCTCATTAGCTGCTCTTTTTTATAATCGATATTGCTGTCACGTCACTAACATGAATGTGTTATAAAATTGCCGTGCGAACTCTTCATGGCTTCTCTTTGAATATACTGTTACTAAATTTTATCTATAAAAACTTTCATCTCAGACGCCTTTCAGTCTCTGATGTCAGTGCAAGTCTATGCGGATTCTTAGAGGGCCCCTAAACCACCCAGTGGTCGAAATTTAGTTGAGGTGAGGAAGTTGTGCTTGAGTTCACAACGAACACGTAGCCGTGAGAATTTTTCGAAACAGTGCCGTAATAGCGGAGTTACACGCGTTAAAGGATCGAATCGCGACGATCGCTTCTTTCTCTCTTTACTACGCTACCCTCTTCCAAAACCGCTTGGCCCCTCCTCGCTGAGTCGGCTAAGTGTCCCTCCTCCTCTCGCGTGGCATACGTCACCGCTGACGCGCTGTTCGAGACAGCGTATACTTCCGGTTGCCGCGATCCGCTACTTCGACGCCCCAGCTCGCCGTCAACTGTGTTGCGTGTGTCATCCGGGTGCAGTGATCGTTGACTAATCGCTGTTGCTGTCCTGCCGGCCCGTGCCCCTGCGCTAGCGACGTAACGGTTGCGTTACGGGCCGCAGATGTCGATTTGCAAGCGGCAACACGACCAAGAACAGCAAGGTTACATCCCTCGTAGTACGTAACCCACAGTGGCGCATACCCGATATAGCGGTCCTTACGATTTTGACCTCCAAGGTAGTTCCGGTGAGAGATTTCTTCTGTGCGTTGTTGAACAATAAAAGATGGTGCTCAATGCACATGTTAATGGCTGCTAAGGGGGAATGAGAGACAGGAGCATTCGGCCTTTAGGTAACGCGCCCGCTGCGATCCTTATTAGCAGCTATTGGCATGTACATTGAGCACGATCTGACAAGAAAGGGTCGCTACGTTATACTCGCTGGGTGTAACCTCTTTGGTTTTAGAAAGGTTTAGCGAGCGTTGGGCCGCAGTGCCATGAATACAGTGAACTAGTATATACCATGAACTCGAGGTGGTTAAAGGTGGGAAGTAAACCCGAAGCGCAAGCCGTAAGAAAGTGTGTATGTGCCACCTCCCGTTTAGTCCTTGAAATGTCAGCTGGATGGCGGTGCTTCTATATGAAGAATATATGATGAAAAGATGCGAGATGGTGGTACTTGGAGTGCTGAATAGATGGACGAACGGGCACACAGACAGATGCATGGACGGACGCATGAACGGACGCAGGCGCGGATGCATGGAGGAACGCAGGGACGGACGCACGAACAGACGCACGCACGGACGGGTGGATGGACGTATGGACGCTTACACAGACGTACGCAGGAACGGACGGAAGCAAGAAGGAATTGACGGACGAATGCTTCGCCCCACTCCCCATCATTCACTCCGCGGATATGCTGCCATTTTTTTCTTCTTTGCTAAGCTCCCTCTCTCGCTTCGCAACGCTGGTGGAAGCAGTCTCTGCTAGCAAGTTTCTTGATTGAAGAAACAGACTACTCGCGCTGCAGAATCGTTCACTCGTCACTCCGTATACATAGGCGCTGGATTTTGACCTCCAAAGTGGTGCCAGTCGGAGATTTCACCTTTGCGTCGTTAGCTCGTATAGGCGCGTTAGCTAAAAGTGGACTGTAAGTCTCTGTGTCCAGCCGGAATCTTAATGTTGTAGGCCCGTGTGCTCAGATTTGGGTGCACGTTAAAGAACCTTAGGTGGTCTAAATTTCCGGAGCCCTTCACTACGGCGTCTCATAATCATATAGTGGTTTGGGGACGTTAAACTCCACATATCAATCAATCAATCAGCCGGAATCTTCTGTGTCTCACTGGCCATAAGCAGCGATTTTGATGTTCCACTAGGAAACACTGGTCCATCTCTGCGTGTTTCGCGCCTCCCCAGGTTTCTTTCACTGGTGATGTCACACATGTCAGTGGCAGGAGTGGCGGGGACCGGAAAGGAGAAGCTATTGTTTTTATCGAAATAGTGGCGCGCCCGCTACCTGTAGCGCTGCGGCGTGTGGCATCGTTGATCGCGACGGAATTCTGCACGCGATGCGCTTGTTTACTTTAAATGTTCGGGAAAACATCGGAAAAGGTTTAGGGGCCCTTTAAAGACAACGTGTACCGTCATATTTTTAGATGCCAAGCATCTCTTGCCCGGACTTATGTCCCGCGGCCTCGGCTGTGTGTGTGCACTGTCGTGATCCCGGGGTGCTGTGGTAGCGTGGTGTAGCTTCGGATTGAGGAAACGAGCGCTTACAAGATGGGGATACGAAAAACAAACAAGGTTTATGGCACTATTTACAAATATTTACAGCATGAGGTTAAGAGTTCACAAACCACGAGCGTGGTGGTTAAACCTTTTCTTGGTTCAGAGCCTTCACAAACTACGAACGTGGTGGTTGAACCTTTAGTTGGTTCAGAGCGACGTCCTGCACTCTGCGGCGGCCGTTATAAGCCCTGTCGGGCTCCTCCTTCTTCAGTGGAACACCAATCACACACACACACAACAGGTGAGGGGTACGAGCATGCACGGGCGCACGTGAACAGCCAATTTCGAGTCAAGATCACTGCACTTAAAGGTGGCGCCAGAGAGGCTCTTGCTCGTCGTGTATGTCGCTGGTCGAGGGGTCCCAAGCTTCGGACAGCAGACATCAAACGGTCCGCCAATCTGTCTGCTCAATTAGCAGGGCACTTTGTGGCGGCGGTCGCCGTTTCTTCTTCAAAGGAATACGCTGTCTTTGTTGTCCCCTCCGGAACTGCTTACA